TTGGAATCAAAGTGCCACCGATACGACACACAACAAATGTTTACATAAGCACGAAACATTTAAATTAAAATTTGAAATTGCGACAAAACTATACGTAGATAGTAACGTCTGATCATGATGGTCTACGTAGTGGCACTACTGCTGGAAAGTATGTGTTCCAACTAAAACCAAAAAATTTACAAGCACATCATGTTGCCCCCTGCAAGGCTCGAACTTGCGACCTCAGGATTGTATGGCCGAAGCCACTCATGATCACGTGATATGAGACCTGCGCTCTAGCCAACTGAGCCAAGGAGGCAATGATTGCGATATATTTTGACAATATATATTCGTAAATTCATTCTCCGCTCGCACTGCAGGCACAGACTAATTTTTCCTGAGTAACACTGATTAGAAACATGTATTCTGTTTCTATTTATTGTTTTTTGAGAAACATTTAATCGGATTTAAACTTGTTTATACAAGTCTAATCACCTGAGGTGAGTGACGGTGTGACACTACACACCAGACAGCTGACGAGACTTACGCTCAGCGCGTACTCCACCTCCATTCAAACAAGTCTCGCTGTGTCACAAACCGATCTTATTTCAAAGGTCGACGCTCGCATGTTCACGCAACGATGCGAGACACGGCATTCTAAACGCTTATAACATGTCACCCGGCAAACTTGGAAGCTTCGGCCGTCCTTCATAACTTCCAAGTTTTTGCCAGGTGAGTATAAGCTCAGGCCGTCCTTTCGTAAACTAACAACGTTCTTTGACAGACCTAAACCTCGTTTATTTTTGCCTATACTTGTCGTATTCACTCCCATCGCTTCAGCTCATGGTACATCATGGACCGGGGCAACACGACCAGGACGACCCAAACACTAACACCATCTCCGGATCTTCCCAATCACTTACACCACGTCTGGAACCTCAAGAACCACTCGCTGCCGAAATTACCGAGCTCGTTAGACGATGTACCGAGGTCACGGAACTCTTCCGGTCAGGCGACCTCAGCAAGGCCGCCTCACTTGCAAAGATCCATGACATCCTCCGCTCTTCTGGAGCCTCTACCGACAGCGACGAGTTCGTTAAGGCCTTTGACTCCTATCTTGCGACCATTGACGGTTTCAAACGACTTCGTAAGGAGATTTCCACTCGCGGCGGCATTCGGGTTGGAGATGAAGGACTACCCGGAGGAGCTGAGGGAGATGTGGATGGAGGAGATGGACACGGAGACGATGGAGAAAGAGGAACTGGAAGAGTGGTTGAACCACCAGGAGGTGGAGTGGATGTCGGACTTGTTGGAGACGGACGTACCGAGCCGTCTGCAGGCCATAAGCGAGCTCGTAGCATCGACTCATCGGATGAAGATGACGACTCCAAACCCAAGCTTGATCTCAGCCTCCTTCCTTGGGTCATCTCCGAGCGCTCAGACCCAACAGTTCTCTCCCCTCTTTTACAACAGACCCGCGAATGCTATGACAACTTTTCCAGGGACATCAAACGAGCAAAATACTCTCTGGTTAATGCACCCAGATGTCCTCAGTTCGCCGAGGATCAATGGATGGCCCTCCTCGCCGGAAAGGCCCTCAATTTCGACAGAGTCTTTTCTGCCACGTACTCCGTCGAGGTCACCGACGAACGTAGACAGAAGCTGGGGGAATTCGAGTTGGTCCACTCCTCTCCCGAGCCAGCGCGCTACGTTCGCAGCAAATCCGATTGGATTACCGCCTTCGACAGCGCATATAACGCCATCCTCTTCGCCCTGCCGCATCTCGGACCTACGTTCGCTGACTACGGACGGTATATTCGACAAATCTTTGCGGCATTCCCCACCGATAAACACATGCGAGTTATCCAGTACAATAAGGCCGTCCGAATCCGAGTGGCCCAACGCCGCGACATTCTCTGGACGGATTTTTCAGCCTTCTCCGACTTATCCATCTTATGGCTTCAAAATGCCGGTGCAGGATCTGACGGAGGCTCAAGGGACGATCGACCCAAGATTACTGGTTCCAGGCGGCGTGAGGCCTGCCGTCGCTGGAATGAGGGCCGATGTCCCAATGGACCAAACACCTGCAAGTATGCCCATATTTGTGAGCAATGCAGGACCACTGGTCATACCAGGACAAACTGTCCCTCTCTCTCTAAGTCCACCCCCTCTCACAAGTAGCGTTGCGTACTACAGGGCGATGCGCGAGGCACCTCACTACCTCAGAGACATGGTGTGGAGTGATACCGACCACTACCGACAAACTCTGACCGACGCCTCTCTAACCCATCCTCCCCTCCCGTCGGTGCCTTTGAACGAATGGGGCGACATTGCTGCCATCAACACCATCAACGCCTATTCCCATTTGTTCAATGTGTCAACACCTATCCACGTTGATACATTTCAAACCATGCTCGACCGCCATCCGAACCAACCTATGGTCGACTCAGTGTGCGATCTTTTCCGAGTGGGTTTCTGGCCATGGGCAGACACCACAAAGGCTACATTTCCTCCCATGCACGGCAACGTGTACTCACTCCACCTGGACGAGCATCTCCAATTTGCGAGGCAGCAAAGGGAAAAGGAGATTAGTGAGCACTGCTTTTCTCCTACCTTCTCCAAACTTCTTCCAGGTATGCTTGCCGTCCCCGTGACGGTGTCCGACAAAAATCCAAACAAATGGAGACTTTGTGTGGACCATTCGGCTGGACCTTATTCCCGGAACGACCTCATTCCTAAGTCGGCGGTTTCGGTTCCACTCGATAATCTCCATTTACTTGGCCAGGCCCTACGAAATGCTCGTCGCCTTCATCCTGAAGCCCGCATTGTGGTCTGGAAGAGCGACGTACGTCGGGCCTATCGTACTATTCCCATGCATCCGTTATGGCAGATCAAGCAGGTGGTGAAGATTGGAGACGAGTTCAATGTTGACTGGATGAATAATTTTGGTAGTCGGGCTGGAGGCGGTCTGTGGGGGTGCTTCTTCATGCTAGTGATGTGGATTGCACTCTTCGTCGAACATATTACTGATCTTTTTGCTTTTGTCGACGACGCTTTTTCTTGGGAGTTTGCCGACAACTTCGAACTGTACGAACCTTACGACGTCCAACTCCCTGCCAAGCAGGCTCGGTTACTCCGTTTGTGGGATAAACTGGGCATTCCACACGAGAAAAGCAAACAGGTATGGGGCGAGACGCTAACGATCATAGGCATGGAGGTTAACACCGCCACCATGACAATTACTATGCCTATGGACGCCCTCAACAAACTCATTGCAGCAATAAGGGCCTTCGCGATTGTCAAGTCTCGCCGTACTCTTCGCGATTTTTGGAAACTGGCGGGTTGGATCAACTGGGCGTTGAACGTGTACCCCCTTCTTCGTCCCGGTTTGTGCACCTTGTATGCTAAAATCAGCAGGAAGAATAAGCCAAACGCCTCCATCTGGGTCAGCCAGGCTCTTGTAAACGAGCTCAATTGGATTGTTCTGCATATGGCCGCCTCCAGCGGAGTTTTCCTTATGGAGTCCGTTGACTGGCCACTGTCGGAAGCAGAAGAGGTACTGTACACTGACGCCTCTTCTTTCGGCATGGGGTTCTGGTCCGCCAACCGGAATCTGGGGTTTTACTATGCACTACCCACCACTCGACGGGGTCCTGCGGGTCACATCTTCTACGCTGAGGCCTATGCTGTTCTTTCTGCAATTCATTGGCTGACAAATTTGACTCCCAGACCTCACAAGGCTGTAGTGTATACAGACAACCTCAACACTGTCGAAATTTTCAACATGTTACGGGCTTCCGCTCCATATAATCCCATCCTCCTCACCGCAGCCCATCTCATGATACAGTTCAGGCTGGACATCCGCATCCATCATGTTCCAGGCGAATCGAACACTGTTGCCGACGCTTTATCTCGTTTTCAATTTGATCGCGCCGCCGCCGCCTCCCCCTGGATCGTAATTCAACCCTTCATACCCCCTCGATTGACGCTGGGGGCGTCATTCATTTGACCATTGTGGACCATGACCAAATCTCAGAGGCAGATTTGGTCGAGAAGACGCCTGGAGCATGAACGAAATCTTGCGCTAGGCGCCGTACTTGAGTCATCCTCTCATTTATCTTACTCATCCGCAACCCGTTCGTATTTTAATTTCTGCAATGCTCATAACCTGCCCGTCACCCCCACCCCTGACACTCTCAGCCTCTACGTCGCATACACCGCCCACTACATAAGTCCAACATCGGTCACCTCGTATTTATCCGGTATCTGTCACTGTCTCCAGTCATCATTCCCTGATGTTCGTAACGCCCGCCGCCACCCCCTCGTTACGAACACTTTACGCGGTTGTTTCAAACTCAAAGCTTCTCACGCAAATCGCAAACCACCTGTCACGACCCCACTCATTCCTTCGATGGTCCTTCATCTACACACCAACCTGCTAGATCAAGTCCATCAAGCATGCCCCTTCTCTTATCACCCTTCGAAACCTTGCATCATTTCCATCAATGATAGTCTCCAGCACCACTTGCGTCAGAACGCCGGATCAGTGGACATCATCCCTTCGAACGACCCAGCCATCTTTTCCCCTCGAGACTTACATCTCTTGCCCTCGAGACTACTCCATGATGCACAGCCTAATGATTATCCATCTTTCCCCCTCGAGACTACTCCACAATGCACAGCCCAACTATTTCAACCGACACCTTTGACCTCTCGAAACTGATCCTCGAGGCATGGACACTGATGCCTCGAGGACTAACAACCCTGTCACCTGCCGCCAAGCCAAAGTCGAAGACCTTCGAGTACTATCTGTAG